CCTACAGCCCCTAAGCCCCTAAACCCTAAACCATAGAGAGTCCCTGGCCTAGTAAAGATCCTCATTTGCAGGATCCTTACCATGCGGACCCACAAAACAAGGACCCCTCAAGAAGCCGCAGATTCAAAGCCTTAAACCTCGGACTCAAACGAAGCACCAAAGACTCCAAAAAAATTCGCAGAATACTCGTTGGCAGAGTTGAACCCGCAACCCCAGAAACCCAAACTACACAGAGAACAGGCCGAGTTGAACCCTAAACCCCACAAGCCAAACCACACAGAGCCCCTAAACCCTAAACCCCTAAACCCTAAACCCCTAAACGCTAAACCCTATGAACCCCACAAGCCAAACCCACACGGAGCAGGCTGAGTTGAGCAGCGTCTTAAACATCGGTTTGGAGACCGGGGCCCTGACGCTGGGCCCTTCTTGACCACACTCTCTGTTGGGGGGGAGGGTGTTTAGGGTTTAGGACTTACGGGGTTTAGGGTTTAGGACTATAGGGTTTAGGACTTATAGGACTTAGGGTTTAGGGTTTAGGGTTTAGGACTTAGGGTTCAAGGTTGAGGACCGAGGTGCTTTGCAGCGTTCCCTAGGGCTCCAGTTATTTTAAGCGTTGGGTTTCGGGTATTGCATCCCTAAGCCGTATACCTATAGTCTCCATTGTAGTTCCTTTTTGGGGTTACTTTTTAGGATCCTTAATATAGATTTGGTTAAACCCAAAAAAGGAACTACAATGGAGACTATAGGTAAACCCTAGTTAACAACCTGTATCAGTTGAGTAAATGCAGCCCTGAGGTTCGATATTCGGAGGCGCTTGTCTCAGAGTTTAGGATTCTGGCTTTAGGATTTGGGGTGTGGGGTTCTGGGTGTACAATTTTTGCGCAGTTTTTGCTCGAGGATTCCGCAATCGGGTCTTGGGTAGTGAGGATACATCGCAGCAGATCTTACGGTGGTGAAGGCCAGAAAAAGAACCTCAACAACAACATCCACAACGACGACGACCACGACGACAAAGCTGTTTCACATGTTTACCATCAACTTCTCCACCCAAAGGGACATGAAGCCATCGCCTACAGCTCGCAAGGCTTTGGGGTTCGGAAGCCGGGGCCGGGTTTCTTGGATATTTAGGTTCAGAGGTTTCTTCTCGATGCATGAGACTTCCCCGAGGTCGACTTGCTACCCAGCCACGGTTGGCTTTGAAAGCCCCGAAAAGCTTCAAAACTTGAATTGCCGGCAGAGCCTTCATTTGGAGAGGTTACCAGCTGAACCCCAACCCACAAAAGTATCCCATCCCAGTGTAAAAAGGGTTCAAAACTTGAGAACCCCTAAGCTAGAGCTCCCACCTCCTCCATGATGCCACTTCTGCTTTGGCGCTGCAGGTAGTACTTAGCAAAAGACTTGCATGTAGCCGTGGCAGTAGCGACGGACCGGTCCCAGTAATTGGGCTCATTCCACCTAGAACCCCTCGGACCCCTTGAGAAGGCAGCTTTCGTTCTACCTGAAGCCCGCGAGAAGCGCTAGGGAAAACAGACAGCATTACACCTAGAGCCCTTAAGACACTTAGGGAGAACAGTCCGAACCCAAACCACCTCAACCCTCGAATCGAGGAGCTGTCACAAAGCCCCCAAGCCCGAAAACTCCAAAGCCACTGAAGCCCCA